AATCCTTGCTAGCTAAAGTCCCGCAGTCTAAACTCCTGACAGCTATAATCCCGCTATTCAAAATTCCAATAATCTAAAATCCTGACAAACTAAAACACCAATAACCTAAAATCTTGCCAGCCAAAATTCCGACAATCTAAAATCCTGCTAGCTAAAGTGCCGCAGTCTAAAATCCTGACAGCTATAATCCCACTATTCAAAATTCCGATAATCTAAAATTCTGATAAACTAAAATCCCAATAACCTAAAATTTTTGCAGCCAAAATCCCGACAACTAAATCCTTGCTAGCTAAAGTCCCGCAGTCTAAACTCCTGACAGCTATAATCCCGCTATTCAAAATTCCAATAATCTAAAATCCTGACAAACTAAAACACTAATAACCTAAAATCTGTGCAGCCAAAATCCCGACAACTAAATCCTTGTCAGCTAAAGTCCCGCAGTCTAAACTCCTGACAGCTATAATCCCGCTATTCAAAATTCCAATAATCTAAAATCCTGACAAACTAAAACACCAATAACCTAAAATCTTGCCAGCCAAAATTCCGACAATCTAAAATCCTGCTAGCTAAAGTGCCGCAGTCTAAAATCCTGACAGCTATAATCCCACTATTCAAAATTCCGATAATCTAAAATTCTGATAAACTAAAATCCCAATAACCTAAAATTTTTGCAGCCAAAATCCCGACAACTAAATCCTTGCTAGCTAAAGTCCCGCAGTCTAAACTCCTGACAGCTATAATCCCGCTATCTAAAATTCCAATAATCTAAAATTCTGACAAACTAAAATCTCAATAATCTAAAATTTTTTCAGCCAAAATCCAGATAACTAAATCCTTGCCAGCTAAAGTCCCGCAGTCTAAAATCCTGACAACTAAAATCCCGCTATCCAAAATTCCAATAATCTAAAATCCTGACAAACTAAAACACTAATAACCTAAAATCTGTGCAGCCAAAATCCCGACAACTAAATCCTTGCTAGCTAAAGTCCCGCAGTCTAAACTCCTGCAGCTATAATCCCGCTATCCAACATCTCTTACCAGTACAAAGTATATGTCATAAAGCAAATCCTCTCAAACTTTGAGCTCAAAAATTTCAATCTAATTTCAATCTAATTGTAAATTGATTCACAGAAGGTAAAGTAATCTACAACAAATATTATCGATTTGCTTAATTCCTACAGGAGAATTAAAACAAGTGTAAGAAGAAAGCAGTGAAAATTCATGGGATGATTCGATGCGTTCACGCTTTTTCGTTATATTCCTTCCGCGAATCGTGCGATGTTTGAAAGCTTCGTTTTAGTGTAAACGCGTTAACTCTCGAGCAATCAACTATCAATCGTTCGTACGATGTACTTGTCGCGTATGAAAAAGTGATTTCACAGATGAATAAAGTGTTTCGGGCTTGTCGTATCGGAAAATCATTTTACGTCATTTCGCTCGGCGAGGCTGTGATATCGTGTGTACCCTTGGGCGCAATTCGGACATCGCTTGAATTACGATAGAAATGAAAGCACAATACTTTTCCATTACTTGCAATCAATTTTAGGAATTAAATACGTATACTTGAAATTTTCAAGTAAGTTTATTTGCGGAAGGATAAATATTTCAATTGAAAATTTGTGAGGTTTTGAAATTTCTGATATTTTTAATTTTTATATTTTTAAGTTTGGAAGTTTTCGAATTTCCAAGAATTCAATTTTTCAATTTTTCACTTTTTCAATTATTCAATTTTCCAATTTTTCACTTTTCCAACTTTCCAATTTTTCAATTTTCCACTTTTTCACTTTTTCACTTTTTCACTTTTTCAATTATTCAATTATTCAATTTTCCAATTTTTCACTTTTTCAATTATTCAATTTTCCAATTTTCCACTTTTCCAATTTTCCAATTTTTCACTTTTCCCATTTTCCAATTTTCCAATTTTTCACTTTTTCACTTTTCCAATTATTCAATTATTCAATTTTCCAATTTTTCAATTGCTTCATTTTTCCATATTTCCATTTTTCTATTTTTCCATTGTTCAGTTATTCAATTTTTCAGTTATCCCATTTTACAATTATTTAGTTATTCAACTGTTCAATTATTCAATTATTCAAGTATTCAAGTATATAATTATTCAATTATTCAATTCTTCGATTCTTCGATTCTCTGTTTCTTCAATTCTTCATTATTCAATTTTTCAATTATAGAATTATCCAATTACTCTTTTTTTCAATTGTTCAAATACCCGAGTATCCATGTATTTATAGTCACAGTTACTCAATTGTGCAAGTATTTAAGTTTTCAAGTTTTAAATTATTCTAGACCTCCATATATACCAGATTCTGAACATACCATGTTTAGGCTGTATCTCCTAAATTGAACATCGTTAATAATCATGTTGCATCATGTTGCATTAATAACGAAATATTGTTGTCACATACAATGAAGTGAAATATAGAAAATTCTAATCACAAAATAGAACATATATGTACGTTTATAGAGTCGTTTACAGGAATGACCAATTGAATTAATACGAAATTTGCGCAAAGCGTATTTGAATAATTCCTCCCTCGCTCCAAGTGTTGCCAACTACGGATTGTGTTTATTCAGCGGGCGAAGTTGTTTATTGCTGGTGAACTCGCTGCAAGAGACATCAAGTCGGCTTGCGAAGCGAGCACGCCGCTGTGTTACTTAAAATATGTTCGAACTGATGTCCAACTACGTAAACGCGACTTTAGAAACTACCGGCTTAATGAAAAACGAAGTTTGGAAAACCGAGATCCCGGAGAAACGGTGTCGAAGGCCTTCGAAACTATTGCCACGGATTTAACGATTCAACGAACGAAATTCGAATTAACATAAACAAGGCTAACGTCTAAATGCGTGCCAGAACTATAGACTCAAGTTAGGGGTTTCTCCCTAGGGGAAATGGTATCAAATTATAATTCGGGAGGAAATTATGTTGGGAGAAGCGCATGGATGTTCGTAGGTGTTATCGTTAATGTTATCTTACAGAATGTGTTCACTTGCTCTACCGTCTTATCAAGACTTAATTATGTATTCATTTTTATTTGTTTAATAATAATTTGTGGGATAATTAGCTAATTTGTTGAAACAATGTTGAACTAATTTGTTAAGCAAATGTTTAAATAATTTGTTAAGATCTAATGTTATTAAATATTTAGTATCAAATTGGTAATTACTTTATTAATTTATTGAAGGGTATTTTTATAATCTTAGATACTCTTGGTATATTGCCATATTCGTTTTGTTAATTGAGTGAATTCTTTTTTAACCTATTATTTTTCCATGTACTGTATTGTACTGTATCGTAACGTGTTAACGAAGAGAATATACTCTCGTTATATTGCATATTACGTTTTGTTGATTATGTCACTCTTCTTTTACCGTGTACTTGCTATTTTTCTTTCTAATAAACTTGATAACGAAGGAAATAAAGAATTTCACACACTCTCGTTATATTGCATATTTCGTTTTGTTGATTGACTCCGATTTCTTTTACCGCGTACTTACTACTTTTCCTTGTAATGAATGTGTTAACGTAGAAAATACAAGATTTAGTACACTCTTGTTATATCGCCGTTTCTCATTTTGTCGATCGAGTGATTTCTCCTGCACCGTGTCCTTACTTTCCGTTATAGCGAACTTAGTAACGGAAAGAATAGAGGATTTAACACACTCTTGTTATATCGCCGTTTTGTATTTTGTTGATTGAGTGATTTCTCCTGCAGCGTGACCTTACTTTACGTTGTAACGAACTTACTAATGCAGAAAATAAAGGATTTAACAAACTCTCGCGTTATATCGCCGTTTCTCATTTTGTCGATCGAGTGATTTCTCCTGCACCGTGTCCTTATTTTTCGTTATAGAAAACTTATTAACGGAGAGAATAAAGGATTTAACACACTCTCGTTATATCGCCGTTTCTCATTTTATTGACTGAGTGATTTCTCCTGCACCGTAACCTTACTTTACGTTATAGCGAACTTAGTAATGCAGAAAATAAAGGATTTAGCACACTCTCGTTATATCGCCGTTTCTCATTTTGTCGATCGAGTGATTTCTCCTGCACCGTGTCCTTATTTTTCGTTATAGAAAACTTATTAACGGAGAGAATAAAGGATTTAACACACTCTCGTTATATCGCCGTTTCTCATTTTGTCGATCGAGTGATTTCTCCTGCACCGTGTCCTTATTTTTCGTTATAGAAAACTTATTAACGGAGAGAATAAAGGATTTAACACACTCTCGTTATATCGCCGTTTCTCATTTTATTGACTGAGTGATTTCTCCTGCACCGTAACCTTACTTTACGTTATAGCGAACTTAGTAATGCAGAAAATAAAGGATTTAGCACACTCTCGTTATATCGCCGTTTCTCATTTTGTCGATCGAGTGATTTCTCCTGCACCGTGTCCTTATTTTTCGTTATAGAAAACTTATTAACGGAGAGAATAAAGGATTTAACACACTCTCGTTATATCGCCGTTTCTCATTTTGTCGATCGAGTGATTTCTCCTGCACCGTGTCCTTATTTTCCGTTATAGCAAACTTACTAACGAAGAAAATAAAGGATTTAACACACTCTCCTTATATTGCATTTTCATTCTGTCAACTGCCTTAACGTTCCCTTACCATGTATTCACTATTTCACCACATAATCAATAATATAATAAAGAATAGTGCCAACAGAATAAAGAATCCAACACTCTAATTATATTACCAAATACCAAAGAGGACAACGAATCTAACATACTGCCATGTTTCGTTTTCTCGACTAAATTTTCCTTTACCAACTTCCTCGTAACAAGCACGTTAACAAAGAGAATAAAGGATCTCTCGTTATATCGCCATGTTTTTCAAGTCAGCTCAATTCTCTTTCACCCTGTCCCTACTACTTCACGTAGCGAACTTGTTAACGAGGAGAATAAAAGATCAAGCATCGATCTTGCCGCATTAATTTTGCAACAGCGTGCTATTTCAAAAGCGATACTCACGTTCTCTTGCACTTTCGTCTCGAACATCTCGAATCTGTCGTTGCTCTCGTTCAAGTACTCGGTGCCATTTTGCCAGGTGACATTTGCTGCTGGCCTGGCTGCTCTGACGGTACATTGTAGGAGAATTTTCGTTCCTTGCACCACGTGACCTACTACCCCGTTTAGATCCATCTTCAGTGGACGGACTGCAAAGAATATCAATGACAAATTATTGCAAGGTCGACTAGACAAATTGGAAGTTATTAGATTGCTATATATATGGACAGGGAGAAGTACAGGATAAAATATGCACGTTGGGTATGTAGTCATGTGGCCATGTATAGAGAGTATGGATTTGTATTGTTAGAAATATGGAAGTTGGAAAATTTGAAAATTTAGGATGCAAGGTAAATTTCTGTATTCTCAAATTAACATCTCAAATTTCCATATTCTCAAATTTTCATATTCTCAAATATCCATCCTCTCAAATTTCCACCCTCTCAAGTTTCCACATTCTCAAATTTCAATCTTCTCAAGTTTCCACCCTCTCAAATTTCCGCCTTCTCAAGTTTCTATCTTCTCAAATTTCCACCCTCTCAAATTTCCACCTTCTCAAGTTTCCACCTTCTCAAATTTCCACTCTCAAATTTCCATTCTCTCAAATTTCCACCTTCTCAAATTTCAACCTTCTCAAGTTTCCACCTTCTCAAGTTTTCACCCTCTCAAGTTTCCACCCTCTCAAATTTCCACCTTCTGAAGTTTCCACCTTCTCAGATTTCCACTCTCTCAAATTTCCACTCTCTCAAATTTCCACCTTCTCAAGTTTCCACCTTCTCAAATTTCCAC